TGTGTGTGTGTGTGTATAAAGCACAATGTTTATATGTGAGTCGTTGTGGCTCAAGGGATAGAGAGTTCTCCATTAAAGTGAGGTGAACCGGGTTTGAATCCATACGAGTCTATACGAATTCTGCCTCCGACTCACACCGACCACATTGCTCATGTAAAATATCCTCAGCGTTAGACGAATAATGAGTTAGAGTCCCCTTGCTGTCAGACAAATCGCGGAAAGTTTTCGTAGTTTTCCTCTCCATGTAGCGCAAATGAGGATTAGCTCTACCAAAAAGTCCTCCACGAAGGCAAATTTCTCCCAGTACTTGATCCAGAAGTTCCCTTGTCTTCTGGATTGGGTTATAAATTACAAGGATACGGAGTTGAACATTAGCAGGCATAAACCCAAAAAACTGGGTCGGTGCTGTAAAAACACGTATATTTCGATAATAAAAATATTACCTTCACTTAATCTACCCCATCCAGTAACTGTTCCATTTTTTCCAACAAGACTTTCTTCCGATGGTGGTAGACATATTGGAGATATATGAGGCTCGTTGATTGCTTCTTCCAATTGAACTAAAGCTAAATCATTTTCATAAGTGAAAAAATTATACTTTGGATGAACAACCTTCTTTTTCGCTCCTTTTTCAACATACGCATGTGGCTCTTGAACACTTGCAAAATCATATTCGCCCACGCGTATTTTTATTTGAGAAAGAAGTAAACTGAAAAAGAAAAAAGAATTATTTACGAGAAATGTTATAGCAACTAGTAGCAAAAAAAGTCACACGACACAGATGCAAGTAAAAAGATTTTCAGAAAATTCATGTAAGGCATTTTCGCAAGATATGGATTGAATATCATACAGAAATGAGTGCTTAACAAAATGAGCATAGCATGAAATGCGTTTTTAAGAAATTGGATTCGTGCTTCATAAAATGGTTTGAAATGCGAAAAAAACGAACAGAGCCTAAACCGCGTGCGTATTAGACATAAAATGGCTTAAAATGCGCGTAAAGAAAATGGACACAGTTCAAAAATAGTGTGTTAGAAAATGGGTACAGAAAAATGCGGGCCTTTTCAATATTCAACCCAAATTTAACAAGCAAGCAAGAAATACCGGACTGCGCTGAAATTGGGTATATTATACATGTATACATGTACTGAAGTCTTCATATTCAAAACACTAAACGATAAAGTTTTCTTTAAAAAAAAAATCGAAATTCGTACAGCGCGAATTTAATACCACTATCATAAAGTTATAGGACCCGTGACGACCTTGTAAAAGCAACTGTTCACTTTTGAAGTCTTTGTAAAAAAAAATACTAATTTAAAAAAAAAAAATTTTATTAAGTGATTTAGACAAAAACATCACAATACGAGTTTATTTGGATCTATTAGTTTATTCTTAGTTATTAGTTCCAAAAAAATAAAAGAAAAAGAACGATTTTCATAAGAGAAGTTTGAAATCAAATCCATTTTATTTAGCACGCATTCTGAGCTATGTCCGAAACATAAAGCTTACCAACGAGTTACTGAAATCTAAAATATATAACACTTGACCGATGATATAAGGATATTTCCATTTGTTTTCATAAAGAAATTAACATATTCCTGAAAACCATGATAAAATGATAAATTATGGAAAATAAAAATGTAAAATAGTGTGTAATTTTTCGTTATTACAAGATGTTCTAAAAAGGAGACAAAAGTTTAGTTAATATGATGCTGCCCCTTTCAGTAATAATAGACAATGAAACAATGTTTTAATTTAAATAAATAATCCCAAGAAACTGAAGCGGTAAGACATTACTTGATTGGAAAAAAAATCATTCACTTCAAAAATATTCAAATTGGAAATAACAGTTGACAAGTTTCGAGCACTCAAAAATAGGCGCCCAGTTTCAAGACTTGTCAGACGTGAATCAGAAGAAACAAAAGTGATTTGAAAAGTAAAACGTGAAGTTGCCAATGAAAAATGAAAAAATTAAGGCGACAAACAAAAACCACAATAGCAGAGAGAAAAAAAAAGATGATATATAAGTTGGTAGGTACTTCATTTACGCCACACTGAAGCTACTGCTATTAGCGACGGGTTGGGAAACATCCCTGAGGATGATCCGAAGACATACCATTGCAATTTTGATCCTCTTCAGAAGGGATGTCTCTCCTGCTTTAGCAGCCCGACGACTTGAGCGCGAAGTCGAGCACATTACGGTGGAACAGTTTAACGAGGATCGATACCGCTTACCCTCGGTTCCTACGCAGACTGATCAAAATAATCACCCACCAGCTTATTGATCGCAACCAGTGATGCTTGGCTTCCACGTTCTACTTGGAACTGTGTCTTTATCACTGCGGAACAGAAAAAAGGTGAAAAACAAAACAAGAAAAACCACAATGGTCGAGAGGGGAAACCTCTCCCATGGTTTATTATCACTGATTAAAATGTAAGTAGTTTTTTAAAAAAATAAATTTTACAACTGACCCTAAAGAAACAAAATACACTAGTGGACAAAATTAAGAGATGGAAAGCATTTTCGCACATTCATTCGCACATGTAAGATACCCGCACACCGCTCCATGTGTTTGACAATGGTTCCGTGAATGCCCAGAGGTACAGGCAGGAGGTCCTAGAGCCCTATGTGCGTCTTTTCAGGGGCGCTGTTGGCCCTGAGTTCATTTTTATGGACGACAATGTGCAAACACATAGGGCTCTCATGGTTGATGAGTATCTGGAAAGCGAGGATATTCAACGAATGGATTGACCAGCCAAATCCCTGACCTGAATCCTATTGAACATGCTTGGGATGCTCTCGTGAGAGCTATTGCGATGCGCCAACCTCCCCCCAGAACCATTCTGGAGTTAAAAAAATTGCTCTGGTGGAAGAATATGAGGGTCTTCCACAAGTCCTCCTTAACTCCCTTATTAACAGCATGCATACTCGTTGTGCATGCTGTCTGTCTGTCTGTCAGGGGTGACCATACACCATACTAGAGGCAACACACACTGTACAAGCCTCACTTTTATTGTCATCTTTTATCCTTAAGTTCAGACTACATTGGATTTATTGGCAACAGGTCTTGCCAGTGAATGGCACTTCCATTTTTGTTTGCATACTTTATTATCATGGAATAAGCTATATCCATACCAAATTTCATTTATTTATATTCAGTATTTTTTGAGATATTGGGGAAAATGTCTTCCATCTCTTAATTTTGTCCACCAGTGTATTATCTAACACGCACCTAACTGCAAGCGACAAGTCTACACCCACATAAAACATTAAGCATTCCATCCTTTTTGCAGTCCTTCAAAATCTAAACAAGAACTCGGGGCACACTAATTATGTAACCAATTCTGTCGAAAGAACGTGCCAGTTGTTTACTCGTTTTAAACCCCAGGATCAAATGGAAGAAAAAAATACTGGAAACTGAAATTGCGCACACTGAAGGTCAACTCTCTGTGACATATTATACGAAATTATAACGAACTCTTACCCCCATCTAATGTTATTTAAAAATGGAAACTACGTCGGTTTGGTCATAGGTTACTGGTGTCGGAAAAGTTCATCTCCTGTATGATACCGTGGTTTGTGAAGGGGGCGTTAACTGCGTTATCACGTGTATGTGATCAAAGTCTGAAAGGGTTAAAAAAAAAGGAAAAAAATCAGATTTCAAAATCTCGGGAAAGATTAAATTGACTTACTCATCAACGCAATGCCCTGCAGTTGCAATCCATTCCTGACTTATTAATGCCCCTCCACATCGATGAGTGCTTGAAAATCCAAAGAAGGAAGTTCTGCGAACTGATACCTATTCAAAAGAAAAACTCTCAATAATATACAACCATAATATAAGTGGCTCAATTTTAATGATTTTGAGTAAATGCGTAAAAAAATTAAATCAAAATACAAATTTACTATAAATTGAATTACTTTATAAAATTCAAATCGAGAGTCTATTTGCAATTGAGGAAAAGTAAATGAGCAATGAATGAGAAAGGAATGGGAATAGGTTGGCGTTAATTTTTGATTACTTCTTGGACCAGAGGGGACAGTAATATAAGGATAAACCTTAAATAAAATTATGTTATCACGTTATTGTCACGAGAAAAGATATTTTCTACAAAAATAGTTGGATGATTATGCATCTTGTCACTATTTGATCTGTTTTATTGACACTAACTGTCGGAAAGAATTTCGACACGCAACATCACGCACTCCGGTAACGGTAGTTTGTCTTATGGTTACTTAATCTCTCTTGTTACTTATGCTTACATTGTCTGAACTTAATATAATTCTAATTAGTTATGCGATGCATCTAACGGAAATTACTCGAATCTAACAAAAAAAACAGGATTTGTTCATAAAAATTCCTTTTCACCTTTTTTTTTCAGGATTGATGGGAATATATATTTTTCTTTTCGGTAGAAAAAATCATTCGCCAATACTTTCACCAAAAAGATTTTTTCTCGTTGAATTTATCTCATTTGGTGCGTATTTCTATAAATATTTATACACATATACAAACATATATACACATATACACAAAACAGCCGCTTGTTGCTCTTCCCCACTATGAACACTTCCTTTTCGTGCTTTTGAACAGGTAAAAATATCTAAATTTTGCATAATTTTTTCAAATAATTATTGTCGAAATTGGTACTCAAATAGACTAAAGAATAACTGTTTTATCGTTATTTAATGATTTGTAGATAAACGTGGCGATCTTTTGAAGCTAATCGATAAATCATCAAATTAAGAAAAAACAGCTATTGTTGAGCGTATTTGTATGCAATTTTCGACCATAATTATTTAGAAACAAAAAATAGCATAAGATAAAAAAGGATTAAAATAATTTGAGTGATCAGTTAAAAAAAAATTTACCAGTTTTTAGATTTTTAAAATTTAATTTTATAACAGTTTAAACTGATGAAAACCGATATAGATGTTGCTAAAAAATTCTTTAAGCATTAATTAGATAAGAAAAAACATAAAAAAACAAGGATATTTATCAAAAATATAAAAGCAGGCAAACGTATAGTATTTAACCAACTTTGAAAAACTTCTGATTGCAGAATTGTATTGGTATAATTTTGTCAGAAGAATTTATTAAAGAATCTAAAATACCTCACGTTTTAAACGTCAAGTTCAGATTGATCGACAGCCTTGTATTTTTAATGTATCGAAAGATATTACTGAATTAAGCAAATAACCACCATCAGTTTTTTTCTTCGTAAAAAAGAGGATTAATGGAATATTTAGAATTTTTCTCCTCCGTCGACAGTTGAGTTGAGTGGACAGAAGAAAGACAATCAGAATATTTTTAAAAACTAAATTCTTAAAGTACTGCTAATTAGGGTAAGGCTTTAAATTTAAGTATTGAAAATACCTGCCATGGCCATGATCCAAATGCAGAATTCTTTCCTCCAACAACCTTCTTTTTGGGGTGAGGAGTCGGAAGACCACATGGAAAAACTGAAAAACCAAAGGATAAATTTAATTTTGAGAAACTTTATTTAAGTCACAGCTGTACAACGAGCTATTGTCTGAGAAACTTTGATGAGGATTATTCGAAGACATTCTTTGCAGAGGCTCCCATACTTTGGTAGCCCGACGACCTCCACGCGAAGTCAAGCACTTTACGGTAGAACAATTTAACAATATCCGATACTGTGCACCCTTGGTCCTTTCGCAGACTGATCAAAATGGTCACCATACTATATGGACGGTTTCATTTTATTTTATAAAAGTCGTTGAACAGCCGACTCAATTTTGGATTTACGACTACTAATGTTCTGCAGCCTTGTGATTTTGAACCCAGTCCAGAAGACAAGGGAACTCCTGGATCAAGTATAGAGAGAAATTTTGCCTTCGTGGAGGACTTTCCAATGGAATTAACCCGCATTTGCATTACATGGAGAGGAAGAAAACGAGAACCTCCCACGGTTAGCCAGGTAGCGAAGGGACTCTATACAAAGATCCGTCTACCACTGAGGTTATTTTACGTCAGCACTGTGATCGGTACAAGCCCGATGAGGAATTTGTATCAACCAGCCATCGCTGGGATTCGAACCCGGTTCACCTTATTGGAAGGCGAACGCTCTATCCCCTGAGCCATCACGGCTCTGTATAGAGGGTTGACTGTGTATAGATAAGCGCGGTTGGCGCTGGGGGTCGAAATTTGCCATAAGTCTTACGGGTTATTACTTCCGACTGACTTTTACGCTTAAGCTTGGAAAAATACACCATTCAATATTATTTAACTTATAATGTTTTCAATGAAATGCGTTTTTTCAATTAAACTTTCAACAAAACAAACAACAAATGAATTCGGAAGAACTCGGCAAGCTTTTTATGATGCTACTCAAAATATAACAAGCTGCGCTATTTTACACAAATATAGCCAAATAAGGGATAATATTCGAAACATGGCAAATCTTACACTTTATTTATGCTGTGATATTAACTTCGTTAAATTTGCTTTAAGATCACAACCTTTTAGAATTTATAACTTACAGAAAACTCTTATGAATGATAAAATTGCGCTTAAATTTAAACACATTACAATAATATAACTTCCGAAAACATCAAGCCTGTTTACACATCACCTAATAAGCATAACATAAGCGGAGGGATACACCGGAAGTTTTCTAAACTTCCTCCTGTTTCAGAAAGCTTGTAATTGTTTACATTCAGTCAACCATTCATTGTTGGAAATCACAGATTCTAAAAGTAAGTGAATAAATGATAAGAAACTGGTCTTTTAAAAAGTGCAATTTTTATCGATCATTTTGAAATTTTTACACAACGCTGTCATAATCAGCCAACTACTTTTTTTTAAAAAAAGTATCTTAATAACTGAATTCTGATCATTGAACTCCTATAATCAATGCAAAACGATCGAATTCTGAAAAAAAATTTGTGGTACTCCCTTTTATGGTACTTTATGAATGTTTTACATTATCATTATGAATGTTTTACATTACCATTTACAGTAAACAGTTGCAAAATAATGCAACGTATTTAAAGTAACTTTTTCAATTGACAAGTATTTTCTATTAGCAGTATTTAGTATGTCTTTTTAGATTAATTTTTAAAAAAAATACTTTTAATTTACACGTGATTCATATTAATTTCAATAAATAATTTTTTAACATTTAAGTTTTGCAGTTACAAAATAATGCAACGTATTTAAAGGAACTTTTTCAATTGACAAGTATTTTCTATTAGCGGCATTAAGTAAATCTTTTTAGATTAATTTAAAAAAAAAAATATTTACTACGTGTGATTCATATTAATTTCAATAAATAATTTTTTAATATTTAAGAACTCCTGTAATCAATCCAAAATGATTGAATTCTAAAAAAAAATTTGTGGTACTTCCTTTTATGGTACTTTATGAATGCTTTACATTATCATTATATCACTAATTAAAATCTATGTATGAAATTTTACAACAGAACCTTAGTTAGTTTTAAAGTTATTTTCTTTGCTTTAAAAAATTCTTTATAACTGAGTTTTTAAATATATTTTTCAGGTAATAATTTTATAAATATTTAATTTTAAACGAAAAAAAAAGCAACAAAGTAAACAGTTGCAAAATAATGCAACGTATTTAAAGTAACTTTTTCAATTGACAAGTATTTTCTATTAGCGGTATTAAGTAAATCTTTTTAGATTAATTTTTAAAAATTTTTTTTTTGCTTTACTTGTGATTCATATTAATTTCAATTTTTTAATATTTAAGAACTCCTGTAATCAATCCAAAATGATTGAATTCTAAAAAAAAAATGTGTGGTACTCACTTTTACGGTACTTCATGAATGTTTTACATTATCATTATGTCACTAATTAAAATCTATGTACGAAATTTTACAACAGAGCCTTAGTTAGTTTTAAAGTTATCTTCTTTGCTTTAAAAAATTATTTATGACTGAGTTTTTAAATATCTTTTTCAGATAATAAGTTTATAAATATCTAATTTTAAGCGAAAAAGAAAACCCAACAAAGTAAACGGTTACAAAATAATGTAACGTATTTAAAGTAACTTTTTCAATTGACAAGTATTTTCCATTAGCGGTATTCAGTAAATCTATTTAGATTAATTTTAAAGAAAAATATTTTTACTTTGTGCGTGATTCATATTAAATTCAATAAATAATTTTCTAATATTTAAGTTTGAAAAAAATTCACTCCAAAGGTTAAAAAAAATATTTTTTTCAATAAAACACTTGTCATTAATTATTATCTAAGGAATGACGCCGTTCTTCCATCTAAAATCTAAAAAAGTAAATTTTTCTGAAGAAAAAAAAGGCTAACGCTAAAGAAACTATTCAATTCCATGATATTTATGGGACATCAAAGTGTTGTTAAGGTTTACGAATTATGTTAAAATTTTAAGCAAGACAATAAAAAAATGCTATTAATTAAGAAAAGAAGGGAATGCAGGACTAAACTCATTTTATTTAAATGCTTTTATGCAAAGGAATCAAAAAATCATTCATTGAAATAAATAATCTATTCAAATCCATAGTTTTTACTCAAAATGAGCTCAAGAATTAAACGCAAGTAATTATGTCTCCCTCAGTTTTTCGGTCATGTTTAATTCATACTAACACTAAATTTCACTGCAGCACTTGCGTAATTAAACTCATACAAGAAAAAGAAAGGAAATAGTAATATTTAATTAATCAACAGTGTGAGAAATAATATTAATTATAAATTTCGGAAAAAAGAAAAAGTAAGTTTAATATAAATGCTAAAATCGTAAAAAATTATAAAAACATGACTGTGATCACATGGTTTTATGTGACTCATTAATAACTGTAGAACGTCTATTTATTTATTTATTTTTCTCAAAAAAAAGTTTAAAAGTAACTTATGCATTCGATAAGGGTTTTAAAAAAATTCTGAAACGTGATTATTAGTTATACACATCTAATAAATTATTACATTCATGATCTATTTTGATCTCAGTGACCAAATTAGCATGCAATTATTTACTTAACATGCTATTTATTTTTTAAAATAATTGTTTTAAAAAATAAAGCTTGTGTTTCGCCGCCCGTATTATTCGTAAGTTTAAATATGCTTCTGGGGGGGGGAGGAATTAAACTGATTTAATGAGTAATAAGAGGAAAATAATAGTGTAAAAAAATTCTTGAACATAACTATTATGATAAATTGATTTTAATCAATGTAAGAATATCGACAAAATTAACCTGATGTTAATGCAATTAACCTGATGAAATTTTGATATTTTATACTGTCTAAATATCGATCAACTCCAAATATTTTAATGCAATAATATGGGAAAAGGCAACCAACCATAACTAGTTTATTCAAACACTTATTAACAAATAGAGAACAGAACAATTAACACAAATGCTGAGGCCTCATAAGCCTTCAATGACATTTGCTGAGCGATAAAATGAACGTCTTACAGCTGTTTTAGTTAACGGGTTAGGAGGTGCGCTATGAGGTGCGTAATGAGGTGTGCTCTCATAAATTAGGAAAGTACGCTTCCTTCAATACTATATAGATGCAATACTACATAGAAGAAAAACACACAAATTTCAGTGGTTTCAGACTTTCCAAATTAATTTGTAACAATCAGTTTATTAATATGACGGAATATATTTCCATAAAAAGAATCAGCTTTTTAAGGCACAAAAGTAATTTGGCAAAAACAAATCGAGTTCGAACCGGGTATCGCCAAGCATCTCCTTTTTCTCTGCTCCATTAATTTCAGTGCCGTTAGAAGAAATGCTTTGAGTTTCATATCCCCAGGGCTGGATTAAGAGCCTTAGAGGCACTAAGCACTTAAAAGATTTTGATGCTCCTTAAATATCATTGAAAATATCACCACAAATTAAAAAAAAGTGTTTTTCTTAAATAAAATTAGAGTAAGTTTACAAAAATAAATTTATATAACTGCAAAATTAAGCAGTTTTTGCTGAGGATCTATCATAGGAATTTTCCAATTAACTCTTTGAAGAGTTTTCAATGTTAACCGCATATTTCGTGATCTTAGAGCCGAACTAAAATAGTTTTGACAATTCTGATGATTTATTCTTTAAAAAATTCCTTGACCCACACGCTTTTATTTTTTCATTTTAATTCTGTGTAATATAGCATAATTTTTTATTCAAACTTTCCGAGTGCTCCGTAATGTCTTTTAATATGCTTTTTAAATTTTTGTTAAAAATTAAGCGAAATTTTTTTTTTTACTGTGATTCTCAAGTTAATATTTATGTAAAAAAATTATCGAACTTCAACGAATCTTTATGGAGAACGGAATTAATAATCAATAAAAATAACAAACAACTTTTCTTTCCTCTCCGATATTGTTGGAAAATCTGTGACAATTCTCCGTGAATTTATGAAAGTTTTCTTATTACCAACAGCATTTATTATCATTATTAAATAAATTAACTCGCTTTCGTATATGTAACGATGGTAACATGCAATTGAAATTTCTACTACTTTCCGACTAGCTAAAGTACTCCTGGACCTCTATACGAAAAAATCGGGGTACTGAGGGAGATATTTTAAGCATTTGCTTCTCCCTCAAATAGAAATGGTTTTGTTTTTAATGGCTACCGAGGCCGGTACCCCCTGAAGACGTCGGCTTCGGTGGTCATATTTTTATTTTTATTTCATTCGTTTCTTGTATTGATACTTTTTTCTGAAATTTCTGCTGCTTCTTAGCGCGTTTTTTTCAAAGAAGTTTTATCCTTTTCGAATTTAATTATTTGTGTTTTCTTACAGTTTTCTATTGGCAAATAGGAGGTATCACAAATAGATATTTTGTACACTTTCTAAGTAGCCGAAATGCTTCAAATTCAACTAGTATTCTATTGACAAAACAAGATACGATTGCTTCCGGACCACTGAAATCTAAGCTTATCGTCCTTTTATCACTAAAGAGAATTTTTCGTTAAACAGAACTTCGAATTTTTTTGCCTAATAAGTAGAATCCTCAAATTTCAACCTGTGTCTGAAACTCTGTGTCTGATGACAATTGAGTTACATTTGTTTCCTATAAATTGCAAAACAAAATTTATCTTCATTTTATTGGCAATCAAAATTTTGACGGTTTTCAAACATTAACAGGCCCAAAATTAAAAAAAATTTAAATAATATTTAAGAACTATGTTTTTTAGGTGAACGAAAAAAAAATATTATTTTTGTCATGCCTAAAACGAAAAATATGGGGACATCATAGAGATAGAGATGAAATTAATAATAGTGATAATCCTTTCAATGATAATTTTATCTTTTTTGTAATAATAGTGATAGTTTAATAATAATGATGAATTTGTGATAATCCTTCCACCAGCTTCCCCTCCCTCTCCATTTTTCGTTCCCCATCTTATAAAATTTTTTGTTTAAGGAGTGGCAAAATCGAATTTTTTTTTCCGCCCACTTGAAAAACGTAGCATTAAAAAAAAATTTTTTTCGCATTATAATGCAAAATAAAATTTTTATTACAATCAATTATTAATTACATTGAATTCATTTATTACAATCAATAAAAAATATTCTACACATTAATATGTTAAGTATACAATTAAAGTTCCGAATTAATAATAAGTTAACTTTATAATTGAATCATTATATGTTACTTCATTTTGACTTCCCTTCTGTGAAAATTAACAATAGAAAGTGAGTTTTTATTGGAATCATAGTTTGATAGAACGAATGTCTTGTAACAGACAATATGCATGTATTGAACACTAATTTTATTGTAAATTCATTAATAGTCAGTAAGGAGCTTAACGAAAAGAATTTATAAGTTTTATTTATTTATATTTTTTATATTTTGTTTACATAATCTGTTGGCTATATCAAAACGATTGTTGTTTGCCTGTTAGTCTGACCATAGCTCAGTAAGGTTTTAAACGCATATATTATAAAATTATTATTACAAAAAGACCACATGCAAAAAAGAGGAAATTTAAATTATAATCAATTAGAAAAGCTGTCTTTCACTCTAATTAAAGATTTTAAATCAGTTAAATTTAAAGTACAACTGCCATCAATCATTGATACACACTAATTTTTAAATCAATAGTTAAAATAACTTAGCAATTTATCTAGTATATTTTATTGTGTTCAGGATCTTCGATGTAAATAAATAATCTAATATTATTTTGATAAGTATTATATTGTTCAATTATGATTTTTAAAAAGGATTGGAAATGTTTTAATACATTAAGTTAATGCATTAATATAATATGTTATTTTATATATGTAAAAACAATATTTAACTGAAAGTGGTTACTAATTTTCATTTTAACTGTGCACTATTCAATATTATAAAAAAAAAAATTTCGTTTCCTATGCTTTTTATTGAAAGAAAATATCGGAAGACAGAAAGGATCACTTTAGTAAAGTAATTTAAAAAGTTATTAAAATATAAACTTATTAAAATAAAGGTTATTAAATTGAGGCTAGTAAATTACGGAGAAGCTGTTAGCTTGTTGAACTTGTTAATTTTGAGCTACCTTTTTTTTCAATTATACTAAACTAGTTTTAATTACATTTAAAATATTAATGCAAGTTTTAGCTTTAAAAATAATATAGAATCCGAAATTTTTTGTCAAAAGAATACGATTTAAAATTTAATCATGAATATAAAGGGAGAAAAAACTATAGCTGATAAATTTAATATTTTTTAAATATTAAAACTTATAAAATTGTGCATTAAACACGAAAAAAAACAACAACAAATAGAGTTAATTTGAAAAACGATTCGATATTATATCTGCGCAAAACAAAAAAGTGGACACTCTAAATAAATTTTCATTAAATAATCGGATTTTCCAGTATTAGGACTCAAAGAATCGAAGCTTAAATGCGCTAGTTTGTTATAATTTAGACAATATTTTAATCATACAATAAATTACGAAATAAGACAAAAAAAAAAAAAAAGACGTACTTTCTCTGACAAACGTACCTTATTTCTGCTGATTTGGTATTCTGACCCTCAAAATATGTATGTCAGCTAATCGCAATCTGGAAAATATGCTCTCAATAGTTTAAATAAGAGAGGGCAGTCTACAGTTTCGACCCCTTAACGTAAATTTCACCTTTTTGCGTATTCTGCCATATCTTGGGACATTTTTGAATTAATCAAAAGATTTTTGTACGTAGTTATATAATTCCATAATCTAAAAATAATTTAATATATAAACAATTTTTATAATTATGTATTATTTTATCTAATAGTAAACGAAAAATTTCGTAGTTGTAATGCGTACAAATTATTACACCATTACGCAATTTTAATACGTAATTAATGTAATATGTAATGTAATATATAATTATGTAATGGGTATGTAATTTTAATAAAAATATACAAAATTTGAATGATACAGATTAAATAGTTTCTGCGTTAATAAATTATAAAAAGTCGCACATTTAATACTTGATTTCTCGAAAACTATTCCTCCAATTTTATATATATACATATATATATATATACATGTTACCGGCAAAGTATGAAACGCCGGCATTGTATAAAATGGCGGTTGTTTTTAGGCAAGATATGAAATATGAGAAGAATTACATACTTTCCCTAGGATTTCCTAGAATTACATACTTTCTCCTACATATATCACCTAGGCATTCGATCTATAGAATGACAAATGCTATTTAGGCAAAGTATGAAAAAAAAAAAAAAACGTCCCGATGAGGTTAATTATGTAAATGATGTGCATTTCTCAAAAAAAAAAAAATTATTCCGAAAAGATAATGAGAGTGCCATCAAAAAAATTTATTCGAAATGCGTAAAGAAAAATTAAAGATGAAAAATGATAATTTATGTCTTTATTATGCTAAAGGAAACAAAATTTTCTTCTAAAAAATAAGAAATTAACCTATTTGTTGCAACATGGCAGGCTCGAATGACATTTCATTACATTATGAAACGAATCGGAGATGTATTTTATACTTTGCCCGTTTCTCATTTGGCATTCTATAGAATGCCTAGGAAATGTGTGAAATATAAATCATTTCATACATTGCCGGCAAATTTTAGGAATTATATACAATGCCTAGGCATTCCGTAGTATGCCGGATTTCAAACTTTGCCGGCAACATATATAATGCAATAATGAAAATTTAATGATCATCATTAAATTTTTATTGCATTTTTATTTTCAATATTTGAATTTTTGATTGCTTTTTCTTATTTAGTTTATCCCCCGGAGCAATATTTTCAGTTTTTGTCGTCAGTTTTTAGTATTACCACTGACGACAGAACTTCATGAGGAGTGAATTAGCAAATTGCATTAATGCTCTGCTGGAAAGCAACTGATCTAGTTTACATTTTAGACATTAATTATCGATTAATAGACAGAAATTAATTTGAGATTATTGGAGTTTAAGCTTTTTCTTAGAAGCTTTTTAAAGTAAACATTTGATCTATTGGAAACCAATTGTAAATGAACATTTTGAACATAATTACATACATATAATGTATTTCGTAGAAATATTCATTTTTATTACCTGGAGAAGGTGTTGTTGTCTTGGTAGATGTCGTTGTGCTTAATGTTTCTGTATTTCCTTTTATATCACCTGTGATAGTAGATTTTGTAATTGTGAAAGGATAAATAGGCTCCCATGCAGGCCTAAATGTCGTAGGTTGAGTTGATGTATTATAAAAAAATGAATTAAATTTAGTAGATGTGATAAATGGAACTTTGGTTGTCCACTTATTTTTAATAGTTAATATGGCAGTTGAAAGAGTTATCATTGATGTCCTCGTTGGTGAGAAAGTGGAATTAATAAAAATATTAGGTTTTGCAGTTGTAGAATACTGAAAATCTGGTGGTCTCCATGACGGATAAGTTGGCTTAGTTGTAAATATCGAATTTATAAATGTCGTATACTTTGTTGAACTTTTCGTTGTACTGGCTGAGGGTCTTTTTGTGCTCTGTTTTATAGAGGACGTTATTGGTTTTATAGAGCTCGTCATCGGTCTTCTGGAGCTTGTTAAAGGTTTTTTAGAGCTCGTCATCGGTCTTCTGGAGCTTGTTAAAGGTTTTTTAGAGCTCGTTATCGGTCTTCTGGAGCTAGTTAAAGGTTTTTTAGAGCTTATGATCGGTTTTCTGGAACTCATTATTGGTTTTCTGGAACTTATTATGGGTCTTCTTGAGCTCGTGATGGGCGGTTTTTTAGTACTAAAGGTTTGATAAGGCTTTGAAGATCCATAAGGTTTGGAAGCAAGATCTGGTTTAATCCAGGGTTTAAAGCTTGTTTGTTGAGAAGAAGGTTTTGTTGAATAAATGAATTCTTGTGGATGCATTGTAGGTTTAAAATGGGTTGTTTGATGTGATGGTCTGTAAAAAGGGGTTTCCGTAAAATGCGAAGTGTCCTTGGTAAAAGTTTGCGATGCTTCAGTATAACCTGTAAAAATAATTCACTATTTTAGTTATACGTTCTATACCGAGATGAAGCAATAGGTACATATCATGGCAGAGGAATTTAAAATAAAATAAAGTAGTTTCCTCACCAAACTTTATAAAAAGATATATAAATTACAACTGAATCCAATTTTAAATAGTGCTTTTTGGATTCAACTAGATTAATATAAAAAATTGACTAATTTTCGGATGAAGCAGATCAAATGCAAATAATGGGGAAAAAGTTTGAAATCTTTTTAGTATTTTGCGGAATGAGTTTTATAACAAAAATGCAACAAAATAAAATTATAATTAAGTAAAATCTTTTACTGATCTTGTCTGACATCTGCTGAAGGCTTGAAGCGATGATATTGTGAATTAAACCTGAAGAATTATCATAAAGTCATCCAGAAGGAGAATAGAATGTCCAATTAAAAAGAACTTACACGTTTTAATTTTTGTCATACTTTTCAGATTCAGTTATATATAATGAATTTTAATCTCGGTTGCCTTTTACCAATGGTATGGTGAATTCGAAGACTAAGAATGCAAATATTTGTGGGGAAAAAAGCACGAAAGAAAACAAATTTTTTATGGCAAAATAGAATCTAAACCTTGAATTGAATCGATGGCGAGTGCGTAGATTATGTCCGAAATTAATGGAATCGATTAAACAATTTTTATTGTTCGGATTAATTCAACACATTAAATAAGATTCTTTCTACAAGTTTCCTGGTATTCCCAAAGCGATGTCTTTTCACGGGAGTCTGGAGGAGGTGAAGTTTTTGCTTGTCTACGGTCTGATCTGATTTTGAATCTATCTGATCTGATTTTGAATCTGATAATGCAAGCTTTCAGCGGTGCAATGAAAACGACTCCGTGACCGAGCGTTTTGGATATGTTCGTTTTTAAATAAGAATCAGCAACAACTAACAATCGGAAAAATTGCTGTTTCTCCCATCTTAAGACAATTCTTTGGAGGAGAGGCGCGATGGCTCAGGGGATAGAGTGCTCACCTTCCAATGAGGTGAACCTGGTTCGAATCGCAGTCGATACGAATTTCGCACCCGGCTTGCACCGACCACAATGCTGACGTGAAATATCCTCAGTGGTAGACGGATCATGGGTTAAACTCCCCTTGCCATCAGGCTAACCGTGGGAGGTTGTCGCGGTCTTCCTCTCCATGTAACGCAAATGCGGGTTAGCTCCATCAAAAAGTCCTCCACGAAGACAAATTTCTCCCAATACTCGATCCAAGAGTCCCCTTGTCTTCTGGATTGGGTTCAAAATTACAAGGCTACGGAGTTAAACATTTGTAGTCGTAAACTCAAAAATTGGATTGGCAGTTCAATGACGGATATAAAATATAAAAAAAATTCTTTGGAGGGAGATGCCTTGAAGGTTGCCAAGCAAACAATTTTTGATGAAGCTCCCCGATTAGTATTCATATAATTATTTTGCTTTTCTATAACGTGTTTCATGATTCATGATTAAATTACGTGATTTTATGGTAATTAATCAATTAAAAACATTTTATTTCACAAAAATTCCTTTGTAAATTTTTTATGATTCGTTTAATCATGAAACTTTTTATTTTAAAAACATTTCCTGGTGTTTACGCATAACCATAAAGTTGGATGTATGAAATTTTGTGTTCCGCAAAGGAAGAAGTCATATTTAAATGATTATTTGTTTTATATCTATTGTGTTGTTATAAGTTTATAATATGAAATCGCCAATAAGCTTTTTTTGTATTGAACATAGATTTTTTTTTCAATTTTACATCGAATGATTATATTTTTAAGGTACACGCATGCAGTGAAAAAGTCTAGGAGTGCTTTATTTGTGTTTTTACCTTTTTATTTAGATATGCACGTGATTTGCATAATTAACCTGTCGATAAAAATGTAATTAATATTAGTAAATATATAATCGTAATAAAAATACTCTTCAACTAACTATTAATCCTATTCCTAGAATACATAATTTTTTTTTTTTTTTTTTTTTTTTTTTTTTTTTTTACTCACACCGATTTTGGCTAATTTGAAAGAAGCTCAAAGTGTTCATACATTCACAAGTTTTCTTTAATTGAGCTATATGCTCAAATTTTTTTAGTTTTATCGTGTGAAATTCTTGAACACAAAAGTTTTTTTTTTTTTGCGTAATCAGTTTATTAATTTTTAAATTCTTTTTTCAGAAGAAGTCCGGACACAAGCTGTTTGAGCTAGAAAGGCTTTTCAAATCGTTAAAAAAATAATTTTGAATAATAAATTATAAGCCACTTTTTATAAATTTTTCTTCCTCAATGTTTTTAAAATTTGAACATGAGTGTAAAGTAAATCTTCCAGAAAAATTCGTCTTTTAAATGTAGTTAAGTAGTGACTACAATTTGAAAGCAGTTGTACTTAATTACATTTTTAATAAAGTAGTTGTAGTTAGCTACAAAAAAAAACATAGTTTTTTCCAACCACTGTATGTGCATATGGTATATTGTCAACCATAAAATAAACAAAACTGTTTTCCAAATAATAATATTAATAATAAAAATATGAGTGCTCTCCAAAAACTGCTTTCGTGTTATGCCTATGGATGATTTATTAAGAGCTTCTTAAAAGAAAGCGGTCGACTCCTAATTGTTCTGTATTCGAAAAAAGTGAATTAAGATTGTTGTAACTTACCTGAAGTAGTAATTTGTGGAGGAATTAAATGATTAGATGATTCATTATGAGCACAACAACTACCAAACAGGAAACCATCGGCACATGTTCCTAAATGTTTGCCTTCTGACTTTATGCATTCCCATACAAACATACACGTACCAAGATTGTTGTAGCATGCATGTGGTCGAATGTGAAGAGATTTTACTGAAATATAAATATTTTTAACATGAGTTTATGGTAAATGAATAGTAATTGATTAATACTTTATTATTGTAGTACTAGAGGATGTTGTAGTAACTAACCATTTGTACTACAATGCTAATGAAATGCTATAGTATGTTTTCTATAGCATTCAATTGTATAGTGTAGTCCAGTTAAATAATATAGTAAAGTACAGTATAGAAGTATAGTCTGTGTTCTAAAGTATATAAGAAGAGAGTTTAGGCATTGAAAGTTATCAACTTTTTGCCAAAAGATTGAGATACATACACTATTAAAAATAGTTACTGACTCAGCATTTTCATTCTGATTTCACGGTTCAATCAAAAATGCCTCCAATTAAGATTGAAGGGATTCCAACATGGCATCACATAATTACAAATAAAACTAGACCTTTGCATTTGAAATTCCATTCTGTTAGTGATAGGATTGATGATAAATTTCAAAGACAGTGTATCATAATACCAATGACAATATTATTTCTCAACAAAATTGTTACATTTGATAAGTTAAAATTTTCTTTGGAATCAGAAAATTTAAACCTTTTCCCAAGCGGGGAGAAGTAACATTAGATCAGTGGTTCCCAACCTTTTGTGGACCATCGCCCCCCCCCCCTCCCTCTTGGGGTTGGCTGACACATATCGCCCCTTTCTCTTTTTGCTCAAAAAGCCATTCATTGTTGCTTGTGAGCAACCAAACACTGAAAATATGCTATGTTATTTGATTTCAATTTAAATTGTAATGCAAATAAGGAGGCACATTTATCCTGTCATTTTTATTAATTAAAGAAAAATTGTGCATCTTTTTTTTTTCTCGAAAAGAAATGATATTTAAAACGGAATAATCAAAACAAAAGTACATTTTTTTAAATTCATATTTTAACGTAATCAAGAAAAATTTAAAACGTTAAGAACTAAAATTTGAGAAAAAAAAATGAAGAGGGAGAAAGTACATTTTTACCACTTCAATGACTGCCCTGTGCTTGGTGTATCTCAAGTTAAATCTTGAATGTCAGGTTTTATGCTCGTCAGATTTAAACGCGAGTCTCCTTTGAAGCAAATGTCCAACCTATCTCTTTGCTTTGTGAGCAGCTGGAAGACAGAACTAAATCCTCTCTCCACTAAATACATGTACGTTGACGGGAACGAGATGAGAAGCGGCTCAGTTTGCTTCCACAATTGTGTATAAGTGTCCATATGCTTTACCCAAGCTAACTCGTAACCGTATTTTTTAAAGACGACTTTGGCCTCACTGTCATACTTCAAATCTAAAAACTCAGTCTACAAAGAGGAAGNCGTTTGCCAGTTCCACAATCAAGCCAATGATTTACAGAGGTTTCTGAACAGAAATCTGAAAGAGGTTTTCCATTTAGGTAGATGCTTAAGCTTCTTGTTTAAGACCAGTACGTATTGTGTTCTTTTGTAAGTTTATTGCTGCAAAGCCCCTTTCAACCGCTGCAGTACTCCCAGACAGAGAAAACATCAATATATGCGCAGTGTGTTGCTGTATTGTGGGTCATTTTGCTGCCTTGTAAATTACAAGNGTCTACACCAGAACCATAGGTTCCATATATATTTTCAATTTCAATCTCAAATAGCTTTTATTATTGATATTATTAGCAATTTTTATCTTTTGAATACACGTCGCCCCCTGATCGCCCCCCTAAGAATTATCGCCCCCTTGAGAAGTTCTATCGCCCCCTTTGGGGCGATCGCCCCCAGGTTGGGAACCACTGCATTAGATGATTCTACTAAGGTTTTTCTTTTTGATAACGCCAGATGGCGCCCTATGTGTTTTATATCTTGTTAATAAATGTTACTTTCCTAGAAAGTAGCATTTATTAACTTTATTTCCTTTGGTTGTTTTCCAAGGTTTTGGATTAGGATAACGTGCGTAGATTAGAGCTGATTATCACAGATCTCGTTTTAAGATTAAAAGGTTTAGACGTTAGCCGCATAAAAGTCTTTTTAGGTTTGTATTAAAAGGCTTTGGAGGAGTGAAAATAAGCCTTATTTTGCTGTCTGAGTTTGATTCTCTTGGAGTCAACTTAATTACAGAACTAATGTGTATAGAGATAAAGTATTGAACTGACCTTCTATCTTGAAGATGATGACAAAAGAAAAAAATGACACCAGAATAACCTGCATCTCATTCCTTTAAAGAAATCTAGAAAAGAATAAAAGACATTACACTTCTGTATAAGGTAAAGTTCAATTTTATGAAAAAACTTGGTAAGACATCTTTTGTCGATTATTACAATATATTTGCTAAATTATGGCCGAGCAATAAGCATTTGCTTACTTATTTCAGTCAGGTAAAAACAATCATTTTTTCAAAAAAAATTGAAGAAATGAAATTATATTTTTTTAAGCGGTGGCGATTGTAAGGCGTCTTTTTGCAAGAAATTAAAATAGGTAAGATATAGAAAAAGTAATTATATCTCATAAAAAAGTTTGTACATTTCATAATAGCTTTCTTTAAAAGATGCTACTTATTAACTGGAATGTTACTGAATTAGATTTGTCACATAAAACTTCATGCTATTTTAAGCTGTTTTCCAAGTTCTGACATTAATATTAGTTTAACGTTTAACATTGGACTTTCCGTCATATTTTTATTCTGATGAAAATATAGTAGATATTAGCATGGCACTTTAAAGACAGCGCATATGATGACTAAAATCATTTTATTATTTTCATTGTCCTATTTGCAATCTATTCAATTGTAATTAATTATATAATTAATATTAAAATTAATAATTACACCAGATGGGAATTAAAGAGCCGTTATAGGTCGAAATTATATATGAAAATTTTTTTCTGCCATCGTAGTTATATATAAGAAAAAAAAAAAACAGTGCATAAAACGAATAAAATATTATTCAACTTTTTAAGGAATCAGATGCTTAATTCTCCAGATTTAAAATTATCATTGTAAAATTATATTTCATTCACTGCACGACCATAAAACAGTTTTTCAAAAACATATTTTTCATGCATTTAAAGCTTCTATGTTGTTTTTACTCGTACTAAAAATGAGACTGAAGATTTTGCTAAATTACAAAGCGTTTCCGTATCATTTCTGAATCTGTGCAGCAATTTAGTTTCAAGAAATGACAATTTTGTAAGAGGGTTCCCACAGGTCACGGAGAACAGGGAAAACCTGGAATTGTCAGGGAATTTTATTTTAACTCTAAAAATCAGGGAATGGTCAGGGAAAGCTGCAATTTTTTTTTAATACAAAAAACTGGAATATTCCAATATCATACCTAGAAAATAATCAGTCTTAAAATTGTCCATAACGGTAATCAGTTATTGAGATTCGATTTAAATTATTCTAACATCTACTACAATTATTTGTTATAAAAATTTCACATTTATTCAAACTGAAATGCTCCCTTCCTCACTTAATTTGTATTTTTTTACACAGAAAATCTAATGATCATACATCACAGAAAATCTTTACAGATTTTACAGAAGAACAGATTTACGCAGAAAATCTAATGATAAAGATCATAAAAAAATCTAGAGATCAATGTCAGCCCCAAAATGATGAAAACTCAACAATTTTATGGAAAAAGCTCCCGAAAAATTTCATTATATACAAGCTGAAAACCTAACCTTCTGGACGGTGATAGCACGATTCTCCCTTCACTGCCCACTATATCGTATGTGAAACGATCCTCTTTATGTGTGACCAACCGGAAGAGCTTCATTCTCCCTCTGAAGGGGTTAAGTGTTGTATGTAGATATATATGATATGTGTAGGGCTCTAGAAATTATGCGAAGATGCGGAAACCCGCATAATTCACAATTATCCGCATAATTTACAATTTTCCCCGTAATCGCAGCATATCTGTATAATTTTTATTTTTCAGCAAAATGTATTCGTTTACCAGATAAATTTCTCCTTAAGGGTTTTTTTTTTCAATTGAAATATATCTTCCTTTTCAATTCCAAGAATCTTTTTGGTCAGGTGGTCAGATCTTTCCAAGAATCTGACAGAGGTGGACAAATTCACAGGAAACTTTAAGAAATTGTTCAAGCATTGTCCTGCAAGAAAGCACCGCTATTTAAAGTTTTTATCAGATGACAATAAGAAAGCTAAACTTTGTACGGCACCAATAAAGACACGGTGGAATTCCTGGTTTAAATCAGTGCAATATCATGCTGAATATTGTAATGTTTACATAGAATTTTTTAGCAGTGAAATAAACCTTACTCCTGGCACTGCTTCTCTCAATCAGTGCAAAGTTTTGGTGGAAAGCAAGTACGTTTGCAAAGACTTTCAGTTCATTGCAGAACACGCTCAGATATTAATGGATACTCTTCTCTTTTTCGAAACATGTGGTGTATCTATTCACAAAGCTTACAATAAGATTTTTGATCTGCGGTCTAAACTTCGATGTAATTCTCAGGCATCATACTCACGAAAAGATTCACGCAACGTATTTCTTCAAGAAGTGTTTCACAAAACAATTGCAAAGTTGAATACTTACTACTCTCCAGAACTAGACGTATTCAAAAAACGCAGGCCCAAGTTTAGTCAACCTGCATTAAACTTCATGAAAGCTGCTCGAGTTTTCGATCCAGAACAAATAGTCAACCTCAGTATTGAAGACGACGATGCATTCAAGAATATTCCAGGAATGAGTGGTCAAGATATAAAACTCGAGTATGCTGCTTACAAAGAATATGTAAAAAAATGTTCAAACCAGGACTTCTGGAATTCAGAGGTAGTCTCAGAGAGATATCCAAAACTTACAAAAAAAGCAAGACAAGTGCTCTTAGTGCTTCCTAATTCAGTAGATTGTGAAAGAGCTGTATCCTGCTACGGCCAAATTTTTACAGAACAAAGACAGAGTTTGAAAGAAAACGCAGCTTCTGGACTAACTTCTTCATGCATAATTTTTAAAAGACACCGCATTTTTGCCGCATAATTTTTAAAAATCGCCGCATCCTAGCCGCATAATTTTAAAAAAATTTCCGCATAATTTAAAGGGCCCTAGATATGTATAATGTTTCGCAACTACAGAAGACTTTTCATTAATATCTAATTAAAAAACAAATGCTAATTTTATTTGTATGAATATAATATCAATCTGATATTAATAGTAGTAATTACGAAGGATTTAATTAGTAAAAATGTGAAAATCCTTTAAATTTTTACTTTATGAAAAATTAGCTCGACTAACTTATTGGCAAGTAACACTTCTTCATGTGACATTGCATTTTAACTATGTTACTTCTTTTTGAGTGTAACAATAAAATTTTGTAGAAGAAGTTTTCAATTCGCTGAAAAGATATGACGAAATACGCAAAAAGTAAAGTTAATGTTAAGGGGTTCAAACTTTGGACCGGTCTCCTAATCCAACTATCGGGACCGTATATACCAGATTGCGGTTACCCCATATATTTTGGTTGTCAGAAATCCGAATCCGTCGCGAAAAAAACGTTTGTTTTTTCAGAGAAAGTACGTTTTTGTGACTGATTTCGTAACTTAAAATATCGTCTACACTTATTAATTAGCATATCTGCAATCATCCCCTCGAGTCATTAAGATTGAGTCCTAGAGCCGTGTGCGAGCTCCTTCGTCACATGAATTCTCCCCCTCTTCAGTGGGCGTAATCCTTAATCAATCTTCAACTGTCAAAATCGGAGAAGGAAAATCGGAGGGGTGAAGNCGTTTTTGTGACTGATTTCGTAACTTAAAATATCGTCTGCACTTATTAATTAGCATATCTGCGATCATCCCCTCTCGAGTCATTAAGATTGAGTCCTAGAGCACGTAAATCCGATCATTAAATCAAAATTTCAGGGTGGTCAATTTTTTTTTTTTTTTTTTTTGACTGTTAGTACTTTTCTTCATATACAAGAAGGAAATGACATAACCCTGGATAACTTTCGCTTTAATGATCGAATTTTACACGTACTAAGTGTCAATCTTAATGGTTTCTGGGGGTGACCCCTCAAATAAGCTAATTATTTGTGCTAATTATTAATTAAGTTACGAAATCAGACACAGAATCGTAGTTTCTCATAGTCTCATTTATGAAAGGTATCATTATATCTTCTTGAATAAAATGGTAATATCGGTGAAAATAATGATGGTAATTACGATGATTGTCAGAAATCGTGTTTTAAGATTTCCACAAAGTTCACCATAACAATTAATTTACTACAAAGAGTGGCCGGATTCGTTTTTAAACATCTTAAAATTTCTCAACGTGTTTTATACCGTCTTAAACACCTTAATTTTAAAATAAATTTTTTTAATTACCAGGCCACGTGTATTTCGCAGAATTTTTTTACCAATTAAATAATTAAAACTGTCTGTGTTAGTATCATAAAATATAAATGTCATTTAAAGTTTCATAAAAATAAATCAATGTTAGTGCAAAGTAAAATGTGGGTAATAAAATATTATTTGATCCTTTCTTAAAAAGTCTATAATTGAAGACTGTTTTCATACCTGTTTAATTAGTCAATTTATCAAAATTAGATTTTCTCTTTCAGTTTCTACTAAGACTTTCATGACTTGCGTATTCGTTTTAAATATATTCAGAATTTCTGCTTTTTGCTTTTAATTATTTATTTTTTCTAATTCTCGAAACTTGGGAAATTCCAAATGAATGCGCTATTTTACAGTAGTTAGAGATTTTTTTGAAATTTTTTGTTTCCAAGATTCATTGCTTATTTCTTCGATTAATTCAAATTATTCCTTTTCGCACATAACTCGGAAAACGGAAATTCCATTTTAGCTGGTGAAGCATTTCTCAAAATTTTTTTTTTCTTTTTTCCTTTTCAGTACCTTTAATGCAAGTAGGTGGGGACAAAAAACAACAAATACCCGTTTAAACGGGGATGTTTAATATTAGTTTCATATAAAATGATTTGGCTCCACTAAATTTTATTCGTATAAGCGGGCTATTCGATTATCCGATAAGCGATTAAGTGGGGACGACTGTATTTAATTATATTACGTTTTCCAAAATTGTATTCATTATGATATCACGTATATTATTTTTTCAATAACGTACTAATCTATTTTTTTAATACGTTAATTTAGGTTCTCCTTCAAATTAAACGTTTACTTTTAAATTATTGTCAAGATCTTACTAAAAGAAAATTTAGAATTATTGCCAGCTAGCTGATAATTAAACTTGT